TATATTAAAAAATTATATAAAATAACCAGTGAGTTCTAAAATTATTTAACATGTACACTTACAGTTATTTCTTAAAAGGAGTTATATTCAATGTAGCCATAGAGGAAATTTACAGGATGAGGAAACAAATGACTTAAGCATTTGGCAGGGATGTGAAAGATCTAGGTTCAGCCACTCTCTCTATCAAGCCCAGAACTGAAGTTTGTTATCTCACACAGCTGCATGAACCTCTCCAATTTTCCAGAAAGTGAGGTAGATCTCCTTCACTGTGTCATGAAGACACTGTTCTACTTCACAATTGTTATCTGTTCATTCACTGAAGAGTGCCAGGTGGAATTTATAGCCCAAGGGTTAGGATGTTTACATTGGACATGGCAGCCCGATTGAGTCCTAAATCCAGCAACTTCAAAGGTATCAAATAAGATAAGTCTACCCAAAAACACTCTGTAGAGCACTGTTTAGTGTACTTTCAAAAGTGGGAGACCTGAATTCAGATCTTTGCTCTATATTCCAGAAAAAACATTCTACACTAATGCTGGGTAACAGTCCAGAAACAGAGGTTAAGACTGAGGTTACTTACCTTTAGTTTATTTACCAGCAGATAGCCTTGGGCATCTAACTATACAAGACTGTCCATGCTCTGTAACCCAGGTGAGAAGCAGTGCCCAGTTCTTCACCCTTTCTGTTGCCCTTTTCTGTGCACTGTTTTCTACCAGCTCGTAGAGCTCCTATTCTTAGGCACCTGATCCTTCCCACGCATTTCACAAGCAACTTACTCAAAGCTGTGGCTTTTCTTACAGGCATGGACGCTGGTAGGGAAGCGGTACAATCCCAGCCCTACACACTCTTAAGTGCACCTAGGAGTAAATCTAGGCTGCATCTTTTGCCACGTGTATCTTTGCAAACCTAGCCTTTCATCTGCCTGAATTCTCTGTGAAAAACTGTAAAGGATATCTCAATGTATATATTTTTACAACACTCCCTGACATAGCAGTCATTAACATTTAAGATATTAAAAGCAAGTACTCTACAGCAAACTAGAAGATTTGCGTGGATTAAATAAAATTTTGGCAATCCAGAACAGACCCCAGGCTGACAGAATCCAGAGGTGTGATTATATACAACATATATTGTAGAATTAGACTTTGCACATTGAGTAAGTGTTTCCTTCTTCTAAAAAAAAAAAAAAAAAAAGCACGCTGATTTCGTCTGCTATTTCCAAAAAGATCACAATACCACTTAGGATGGTACACGCGTCCAAACTGGCAGAAGGAATGGCATACTTCATAACAGCTTTACCAACTCCTAATTTTGCGTTTTCTTCATCAGCAAACAAAGGGCCTTTCATCTGGCTGCAAGCATTTCTGAAATTTATTAATTTTAAATACTTTAAGCTTATACAGCATATTTATTCCTGGTTCAAAGAGACTGCACTAATTGAAGACAAGATTGTAACACCTGTCCTGCGTAAGAATCTGCATCACGCTTCTTTCAATCAGCCTTTGAAGAAAAATAATGGATCACTTGCATTTTTCTTGAGGCAAACAGATCTAATCTAAGCACGCCACTGAAAGCTGTTCACTTTAAGACACTTTTATTTATGGATTGTAGTTATCCTGATGAATCATCAGCCTTCATAGCCACTCCATCCATAAATCTGTTTTCACCTGATGTACACAGTCTATGAAGACAGTAAATTAGTTTTCATCCATCTGAAAGGCTGTTGCTTCCTTGGATAAAGGGAAAATGGACAGCCGGTGCCACTAAACTTCACACTATTGTGCTGTTAGACAAAGTGGTATTCCTGTGTATGATGCTCAGTTGCAGATTTTGCCTGTTTTTTTTAATGTGAAATTTTATGATGAATCAGCCCTCCCTTGAGGTTTTTTTTATGATGAGTAAAGATAAAAGTGAGAGACACAAACTGGTCTGTGGATCCAACACTATGAAACATCCATCAGTGACAGGGATATTATTGGTTCACCTTCCAATTCCAGTATCCCACAGCCTTGCAAGCTCAAAACAATTCAAAACCCAGGACCTAAAAAAGCTCATTGAAATTAAGCATTGTATTTAAAGAGTAGAGTTGTATTTAGAGTAGTGTGAAGAGACTGGGACATTTTAGCTATCACGTGTGTTCTACCACTTGTACTCTAATAGTTTAAAGTCTCCTCCTGACTGTTCATGGCTTAAGACTTTCTCTAGAATGAACATGGAAAAAACAATTTGAAATAAACATTGGCCTGGTAACTGTGAAGGCAATTCAGCTTTATACTATCTATACCATCAGAATATTATGACAGAGCATGGACATAAAATAAGGCATAGCAACCTCAACACTTTTTATAATTCTCCCAGAAGCATATTTTCCCCTTCTTCCTCTTTACTTCCAAAAAACTTTTATCTCTAAACAAAACAATAATTATGTTTGTTCATCTGATCCTGAAGAATGTAACTGAGGCAAAAGAACCCCATGCTCACAGTACTTCTTAAACCAAAGTCTGCTTGTATTGTTTTGTGCAAGTATGAAGTGAGTCTTTGTGTCACTTTCTGCTGAATCATTTTCATTAAGGTGACATTTTAAATTAGAAACCTACACTTCAGCTGAAGAGGCAGGCCTAAGAATCAGAAAGGTGCCTTTTTTCGGTCTGCATCCTGAAAAGCAAACAATGCCATCCCACAAATGTCTCCTACTATTCATTTAAATATTCTGATTCTTAAAAATGTTTGTACATGACTGCTGGTCATGGTAACAAAGCATTCAACTGCTTTCTCTCAGATCTAATGAATCTGACAGATAGTCCACAACAGCAGCTTCAATGCTTTCCATGTGAAAAATGTTCCAAATAAAAATAGACTTTGAATATGAATATGCAGGTTAAGCCTCAAATTGCCAGAAATCATTTAAAAACAAACCAAGTGAGAAGATATTCCCACAATTATATACACTGTTCTGCCAAGAACAGAAACATGTTCATCTACAGCTGAGTTTTACAAGATCTAGTGAGACATCCAACATAGCTGCATTAAAGATATTGGTGTTTTACTAAGCTAACGATTTTTTGCACTGTTTCTGATGTTTTTAAAAGATTCTATACTATTTAGGCAAACCAGAACCAATCAAAACAATTAAAAAACATTGCAGTGCTCTATTTCTGAAATTGTAGCGCTGCCCACATCAAAATTCTCTGACATTTCACATGGTTCTTGATCTGGCTTAATAAATATGCTGTACCAGAAACCATATCTGTCATGCTTACCCCTGTGCATATACAAGAAAGGAAAAAGTAGGCTCCTGTCTTCAGATCAAAATACCTTGTTCATAACATACCTCCAATCTGAATTCATTTCCAGAAACCGAGAAACTCCTGTTTGTGCTGCAGCCACGTCAATATGAACAGAGACATCTATGTAAACAAAGAAAACAAAACAGAATTTCAAAATTCTTCTAAGAACACTCCGAGTAATAAATTAACAAAGCAGTAACAGAAAAGATGCATCTAAATAGTGTGAAAAATAGTGTGAAGCAGTAATGTCCAGTACATGCAAAGATATACTAGCAGAAAAAAAAAAGCAATTGAAATTAGGCGAATGTACCTCAAGCCAGCTTTACATACCTGCTGTTGAAGGTACTAACTCATGCAACTTCTGAATTGCCACTCCTCCAGGATAATTGAAATGTGAAACATATAAAGATATTCCTGAATAAGCAGCATTAACTAGGAGATGCATTATAACAAAGAGAGATCCAAGTTTGTACAGCCAGGATTTCCTGTAGTTATTCAGTCTGTTGAGGAGGGAAAAATGAGTAAGAATAAACTCTTTTTTTTTTTCATACTGGTCATTGACTGTTGTGACAGAACTTTTACGAAAACTCCACTGCTAGATAATAGAGGTTAATGCAAACTCTGTTACAATCATGTGTATGAATACATTTATTATCCATTTCTAAAAGACTAGCTTCTAGTGACATTTAAATTAGAATATTCTCATTAATAAAGCTAATACAAGCTCATCAATAAAGTTAAGTATTTCTGTGTTTAAAACCTTTAGCTATGAATGTAGTCTCTTTCAGAGAATTTCAGAGTTTAACTTCAATTTGTTTCTTCAATATACTCAAGTTTAACTATTTAATACCAACTCCGTGTTTCATGAGCCCCACTTGTATATTAAACTGTCTCCTAAGGTAAGTTATGTTAACAACACAGGAGTACACTGGAATGTGTTTTTTTCTCTGGTGGATAAAATAAACTGAATTATAACAGCGTAACAGTAAAATCAGGGCTCTGTTCTCAACTCTGCCCCAGACTTGCCAAATCATCCTGTCAAGTCATTTAACTTCTTTTTGTCTCCATTTCCCTCTTTAGCCAAATGAGTACAGTGATACAGACCTCCTTTCTAAAGCATATGAAGATCTCATGATGATCCAGATTCCAAGATGGAAGAAGTGCATGAAAATAGTAATAATATTTTTGCTTTTCTTTTTGCATTGTCAGAGAAAAACAATAAGCAGAATTTTTAACTTACATTCGTGAGCATGTTTTAGCAGCCACTACGTTGAAGACAGGGAAAGTATATATAATAAAACGCAGCTCTTTGTGTGGGAGAAATGAATACAAGAAAATAAAGCCCAGTGCTGGCAAAAGTAATATCCGAGTTCTCTTTTCTGCCACACCTAAAGGTACAAATATGATGCTGCATCCCAAAGCACGAGGCAGGGCTGAATAGAAATACCACAAGAAGGGGGAGGTCTTCAAGGTGAAAAGGAGAGTTAAGGATCTTTCACTGCTGACAAGTAAAGTAACTATTCTTTACAGTAGTACACGCAAATTTTGCAAATATGCACTTCCAGGCATTTGGTTTTCTGCCTTACCCTTTGAGAAATAAAAGCAGTTGCCCAACTACATTCACATCAGCCAAACTGAGACACAGCAAATGGCACTAATAATGGGCAACTTGAAAAATAAAGGGGAAGAAACCTGGCTCTACACTGGTAGAACACAAAGAAACAAGAAGAAACAGTCAGCAGAGGAAAGTCAAAATTTATAGAAAGATCTAAGAAACAGACATTGTCTCATAAGCTTTAAATAATGAAATACTAGATGAAAAGTAGAATTTAACACCATAACTGAGGCTCAGGAATAGGTTACATCAAGTCTTTGCTTTGGCAGGTAGTGTTCAATAGATCTTTTTCTCAGGACATTTCAAAGGATACTCCCCAGTCAGAACTTTTGTTTAAAATTGTGTTATACCAGAGCACTTTCCCCTCAGGCCATACAAGTTGCCTCCAAAATAGAGAATCCACAGCAACTGTTAGCCCTAAAAGAATGAGAGAAATACAAAGCAGAGTGAATTAAAAACTAGGGAAAAGCAAACTAGCACATCCAAATTGCCCATTTACTGATGAGATCAACATAAACTGGAACATGCATGGTAAGCCTCACCCAAAGCCACAGAGAAGGTTGAATCTGTCTTGCAGTGGAAATGCAGGGTAGGGAGGCACTTCCTAACAGAAGTCTTAATAGAAGCATGTTAGATAGGAATCTGATTGAGATTCGCCCCACTCCAACCCCAGGTGTGAAAAGCAGTGGTTTAATTAAAATTTGTTTTAAAAGAATATTAGAGCATAAATTTAACGAAAGGTAAGAAACCCGGGTTAACTTCATATGGTACAAAATGTATTTTTATTGTAGAGCTGCTAAGAAAAACGATTTCTAGAAGTTTGCTACCATTTATTAGGTGGGAGGGAAGGAGGAGGATAAGGGATGAAAGGCAAAAAGACTGGAAGAGCAGCAAATCCATCAGCCCAATCTCCTCCACTCAGCTCTGTGAAAATTGCTCTGGTATTTAAGCAGTTTGCCCAGAGAAGGAATGGGAGTAGCACTGACTAATTTCCATTGGACGTCCAAACTCTTACACTGCGAGGTGCCTCCAAATGCACATGGCATGATTTTCTATTGTTTCCATTGTCCACACTGTGGAAGGGACAGCACACTACCAGAGGTCATCATCAGGCATCTGACAACAGCATATTCAATTAGGTAGGCTGGCAGAGAAGCTTAGAGTATTTACGTGCCTATGCACGAGCCTTCCACGGATGGGTAGAGACAAGGAGATTTTTCAACCTCTCTAGCATGGATAATCACTTAAGCTATTAAAATTAATGTAATAAAGAAACAGAGCTGAAGTGTGACTCTCCCCACAATCCTCTTGTGCGGTATCCCCGTCTCTCACAGTGTTGTATTTTATCCTGGGATTCAGCTTATCATCATGGCAATAGATACTACAGCTGATAATGTATGTGTAGCTATAGCCAAGTACTAATTATACTAAAGTCAACTTGCACATCTAAGCCTTTTTAAGATCAGGACGTTATACTGTAAGCATCTAAAGGTGGGAGTCACAGTATCTTCTGCTCTGTGCTCTATTTCGTCACATGGAAATTTTCAAAGAAATAACTAACCTTTTCATATTATTAGCAAATGGAATCAGACAGGGGAAAAAAAAAAAGAAAAGGATAAAAAAAGCCCTAAGGGCCAGGTCACCAGAGAAGTCAGGCAAATCTCCAGACTTCTGCTGAATTTAATATGTGGCATTTGTTTTTTTCCAAGCAAACACTTACCCAAGCAACAAATTCCAGCAGGAACAGCATGGGAAAGCACCTTGAAAATGGAGATTCTTTTAGTTAATAACGTCACCAGGAGCATGAGGCCTAAAAATATGCAGAGCTCTGATCTGAAGATTATAATTGCCAAAGCTGAGAACCAAATGAACGGCTTCTGCTTTTGCTGTATCCAAAATGTCAATGCTAGGACCACTGCAAAAAATAAAAAAGCACACATCTGACACACTGAACTATTCATTTTCTAAAGGGCAACACTTTTCTCAATGCTAGCATCTTGATCCTCTAACTTCCCACAAATCCTCTCTTGGTCTTCCTACAATTTCTAGTCCAGAAATTCTTCCTCAGTTAGAGAAATGTAATTCGGAATAACACAAAACTTGCCACAGTTGATGCTTACGTAAGTAGGAAAATTATAACCAGAGAAAGAACATATGGGAACTCTTCCTAGACAGTATATTTAATATCTTTCTTGGAAAAAAACAAACAAAAACCCAAACAACCAAACAAACCCAAACCTTAAGGAAATATTAAAAGCCTTTCAAACTAAGATTCAGAATTATTATTGCTCTGTATCAGCTGAAGAGTTAGTTTATTCTCTTGGCTGAGTATATGCTGTGTTCATGACAACAGCACCCTATTTCAAATATGAAAAAGAGACTACAGAACTATAAATCCATTTGCATGGTTAGCTGGAGACACATCATTATGTCTACAACACTGACTACATAATAAAGTGGTCATGATCCTAAGAAAAATGTGTGAAATATTAATAGTACAAAAACATGAAAGAACTTGTATTTTTAATACCTGCAGAAATTATCTGAGAAGTTTATTACTACATGTTGTTTATCTGACATTTCAACTGCTTTTTGTTTTCAGTTCTGTTCTACACAGGTTCTTAACCAACCTCACAATTTTCTTAGTTGAAAAACTTGCACTAAAGCCTTAAGTGACTCAGCTAATATTGGTCACATGGGGTTAGTCTTCCCTCCCATCATCTATGGGGAAAAAATTGTATGTGTACAGTAAGGTTTTAACTTTGATTTTTTTTCCTCCCCTTTAAATGTACAAACTGCTACATTTGTAGATAACTCCAGAAGAGGAAGGTGGAGAGATTGCAGTAGGAGTTCGTTCCACAGTCTCATGAGAAAGCTGTTTCCTGTGTAGACCAAGTTCACAGATTTTTTCTGAACTGCAGGTGTACCTACCACCTTTTCAATAGCTCTATGGTTTATGCATCAGATATGTGTACCCAAGCCTGCAGTTAATCAAAGCCATCTGAAAAACTCCACATATACTCATATTCAATAAAGCTTGATTCAACAGTCATTGTAAGCATATATGGTAAAAAAAAAAAGAAATAAATCATAGAATGGTTTGCGTTGGAAGGGAC